ATTTTACCACAAATCGGTTGACCGATACGATGTGTCGGTGTCTCAACTCACTAACTACACGTTTTGAGGTCTTAGTTCTTAACACACCAGTACAGAGTGTGAATTCGCATGGGTGGTGATTCATGCATAACATGAGACGTTTGCCCTATCGACACATCCGGTATCGGTCCTTTTGGAGTTTTTTTGTTTGTTACTTTGATTTGTCTCTTCCTAATCGTTTTACAATATTTTGAATATCTGTAAACTATTGCTGCATTAGTTTACCAAATTTTGTTATGTATGAACATAAAGATACTTCACAATGACCATATACTTGACGAGATGAATTTATAGAAGCAGTTGAAACAAAGAAACCACTGTATAAATGTTTACAAAAGTGTAATAACAATCCTACCCAAACCGTATAGATGAAATTGTTGAACGAAATAGAGGAATGTTTCGTAACAATGCCAAAATAATATTGAGAAAAATAAATACTGAAGACGTAAAAATGAATATTAGTGACAATGAATCCTTATGTATTTCAATACTTGACAACACAAAATAGACGTTATAATTTTGAAGAGGAAATGTTGAATGACGATAACAACCCTTTTAGTGCTGTAAACAGCAGCAGTGATTTATCATGCAATAAAAACATATGTTTTGCATTGTGTTACCTTCATTGTTCATATATCTTCAATCAATCGGGCATAAATGCACATTTCTTGATAAATACATGTACAATTGCAAGAATATAGTGCCAGCTAGAAACTAAAGGTAATTTTTTCTAAGATGAAGCTGTCATATTTTCCAAATAAATTATAGTTTCCATAATGAGCATATGTCAAAACTAATAAAAAAGCAATATTAAAGGTATATTTTCCTTTCATGTATATCTCAAAACAGGACCATAGTGTATCTATTGATCTACACATAAAGCTAATAAAGTGCATTATGAAAATCAAATTAAAGAATGAAAATGATATAACAACCAATCACATATATTCAGATAGTTTTATTTCTATGCCATGTTCCCTTCGCAAATGACGGTGCCTAATGTAATTCTATATGGCACATTGTAACTTTAATTTTGTACATTTGTATGAGGGGAGGAATTCAATTAACCATGAGTGCAATAATGTTACTAAAACCTGTAAAATATAATCATTCTTAATTGTTCTTAACTCTAATTCAAATAGTAAAAAGAATGTTGATGAATACATGTAACTTGAAAAAAATATTTAGATTATGTATGTTCAAACATAAGTTGCGTTAATCTGTTTTACCTCCTTTGTCTATTCACTGGTCCTCTTGGACGGACTGAAAGGTATAAACATTGCTGCTCCGCCTTGTCGTTACACAACCTCCAGTAATGGTCAACATAAAGATATTATTACTTTCTATTATTATACTATATATAAAACGTTATCAAAATACTTCAAAAAATGGTTTACAACGTTAAAATCGTTTTAATAGTGGTATTTGTCATTACATTGTATAATTTCTGGATTTCAATTTTACAGGAATATGCCATGAAGTTGAGTACGTTTGTTTTGGACATCCATCCCATTTTCATTTTTTTCCCCAAAATAAAGAAAAAACTGTTAACTATATCAATGAAGTTATTTCTAAAATTGATGACGTTGATGGAATATTATTGCATACATGTAACAAACACAAAATATCACGATTGTGATAAAGAAAAAAAAACTGTTGCATACTCATTACTATTAGTTGTCCCACTGTAAATTCTAAAATAATGTATAATTATTAACATGTATTCTAAATTGTTAAAATCGAAATACTTTAGTCCCACCTTCATTTTAGATAGCGGATTTCAATCATCTGTATATAATAAGATATAATTAAATGTAAAACCAGTTGGGAATTGGTAATTACTACTTTATGGCTGACTGTCATGACTTTACCTTAGAATAATATTTCAATATCCAAAGGTTAATAACCAGCAATCTAATGGTGCTTATAATAAAATTTGATTCCACAGTTCACGTACTTTCTGATCCATACAACCAAGGATTTATATAGTAAATTTATTATATAAATCCTTGATACAACAAATGGTCATTATTACCTCCATCACCGTCTGTGTATCTTTTTTTTCTTTCACTCCGATACATCAAGTGACCCCTGACAGACTATGTACAAGCTATAGTGGTTCTAAAAACCAATTTTTTTTTGACAAAACATTCGATCCTAGAAACTAAGAAAGTGACAGTCCAAAATCTAACGACGATTACTGAATAATGACAAAATCCAGGTATAGTCTGGGAGAACATAATTTATTTATTAGTTGTAATTGGCTTTGAACTTTCATTAAATGCTAGTATTCTTATGTCGAAGCTTTGTTTCTATTGTTTGTGTTAGATAATCTGTTGTGCATCGTACTGATCGATTGAGTTAAACCACTTGCAACTTTTTACAGTTTGTTCTTATGCTGTGCTGTTACACCTATGTCCCTGTTTCTAGGGAGGGTTGAGGGCCCACAAAAATGTTTAACCCCGCCACATTCTATATATGCCTGTCCCAAGTCAGAAGAGATCCTGTTATTCAGTGGTTGTCGTTGGTTCATATCTGTCATATTCGTTTTTCGTCAAATGTATTGTTATAAATTAGGACGTTACATATCTCGTTTGAATTGTTTCACATTTGTCATGTCGGGGCCTCTCATGGTTGACTATATGATATGGGCTCTTCTCGTTGTTGAAGCCCGTACACTACGGTGACCTACTACTTGCTTACATCCACGTCATTTGAACTCTGGTGGATAGTTGTCTCCTTGGGAATCATACCACATCTCCTTATTTGTATAGTGACAATCATACAAAGATGTACACAATACAATTCTATACACCAGGAATACTTGCCCTGCATGTATATCACTCATTCAAAAATAAATTGGCCTTATTTCAAATAAACTCATCATAGATACCAGGATTGAAATTTTGTATTTGCGTCAGACGAGCGTTTCGTCTACAAAAGACTCATCAGTGACGCTCGAATCAAAAAAAGTTAAAAAGGCCAAATAAGGTACGAAGTTGAAGCGCATTGAGGATCAAAAATTCCTAAAAGTTTTGCCAAATACAGCTAAGGTAATCTATTCCTGAGGTAGAAAAGCCTTAGTATTTAAAAAAAATAAAGTTTTTTTAAAAACTGTCAAACCCCAACCTGTTACTTTAGTAAATCTATGAAGGGACAAACGACATACATGAGTATACAAAATATGGATTTCTACAATCTCTTAAGCAATAACGGTACATTATGTGGTTTCTATAGAATCCAGAAGTCGGCTGTGTTCGTTTTGCTCTATCTTTACCTTACTGTGTAGTGTTGTGTCGATCGTTGATGGTTTGTTTTCGTCTTTTTTCTTCTTTTTGTCAAGGTGTATTTTTTTTAAATTTAATATGGTTTATGATTGCCCCTTGGTATCTTTTCCGCTTTTAAACGCCGTCAGCAATGCCACTAAAAAATTAACACCGCTATGTTTCACATTCTGTACCTTTTGTCACCGGGGCCAAGATCAGGTGCCACCCATCAGATTGACATGTTCACCTTGCAGTGATTCAATAGAAAATATGTTATAGACGACTTTCAGGTTTGTGCACTTTCCCGTACATTTGCATGTATGTTATAACGTCATAATAAGAGTCGATTTTTAATGATATCATTTGTCCATTCACTGGTCCTATCTGGTTGAAAGGTATTAACATTGCTGCTCATCGTTAGACAACCTCCAGTAATGGTCAAGAGAAATATAACTACTAGAACATCCCCGCGACATTGCGAGTCTGTGACTGAATTAAAGTACCTACGCCTTATTTTTAGCTTGGAATTTAGTATATGTATTGTCATCTTATAAAGTCGTGGTGATTATGAGGTGCACAGTTTTCTCTTCTTTCAAAACGTTTCTGTTTCAATCCGTCCTGTTTTGCTTACAACAACCGGAGCGAATCAGGTGAGTGGTGTGTTCGTATGTCTTATTGCATTGTATTTATATATGTTTTTGGAAGGTTAACTTTCTGGAAGAAGTCCCGTCACGGCCAGACTGGAGAACTGGGTAGACAAATGCTCACATTCAATCTATATCGATACAGTGTGCGAAATGTCCTCCTATACACCAAAACTTATGGTGGTGCTCCTATTGAAAGGAGGCTTATACATGTACGTAGCAGACATACTACATGTGACATGTGACATATACTATTGGTATCGGTATCGGATTCGACCCGGAACTTGTTGATTATTGGTAATATTAGTTATATGGAAAACAAAAGGGTCTGGAATGGTGTAATTTTTAATCAACGCTTTTGTCCTATATTAGTTATATATAAAGTTGAATTCTTTGATTTGTCGTTTTTACGTCATGCCGGCTAACAAATTGGACCTCGTTATTTTAGTAGTATAGATACTATATATAATAAGTTATCAAAATACCGACATCAAAAATAGTTTACCAGGTTAATATTGTTTTATGTATGGTATTTGTCATTATGTTATAAAATTTATGGATTTCGTTTTTATTTGTGAATATGCCTTGGAGTTTAGTACATTTGTTGTGAACATCCCCTGTCAGATTTCAGAGTATAAGGCCTTTTTAGAACAAATGTAGCATGTGCATCTGTTAACATAAAGCTCAGTACCAGAAAACAGAAGGCCATTTCTTTTTGCAATATTCTTTCTGTATGTGATACCAAATAAACTTCCAATGTACAAGGAGGTTAGAAAAGGAGATAGCATTGTCCTTATTTCCGTTTGATCATTTCATAAGGCTGAGAATAAATGTGTTATCCCTTTAATTTTGAATTGTACTTTTCAAAAATATATTAATCGATTTTTTAAGTTCATACAGACACCGTGACTTTTAAAGAAAAAATGCATTGACGTTTATTTTTAAAGGGATTGTTTTGAAGGCATGAAAATAAAGACATGAATTTCGAACAGTAAGATACAAATGAAATTCTACCATATGCCGATACTGTTTCGATCATTACCGGAAATAAACTGTTTTCTAATCTTAACAACGAAATTCAATGATTGGATTATGCGATCTTTGGTAAATTCTATGACGACAATATTGAAACCATTAACAGTTTGTCACAGAAATCAATGTAGGCGTGGAAAGAATTCTGATTTATACCTCTTGTATCTCATTATCATTCTCACTGATTTTTTACACTTCGTTAAAGTAAAAGGTAAGATTTTATAAAAGCTTGTATACAATTATATATAGGTAAGAAAGTTAATTCACATGCACAGAATAATATTTTCATGAGAGAAACAATAGTAAGTTGAGTTAATTGGTCTTTCAGCGTCTAGCGCTTTCATCTATCTGTTTAGATATATATAAGTTAAGAAAGAGAAAAATATGTTTTAATGCACAAATAATCTTTTCTTCTATGAGACTAGTACAGAGACGCTACCAAACAAATGAGCTTATAATGAAGTGATTTTAAATATATGTATACAAGAAAAACTTATTTTATGTCATTATCATTCAATTCTTAGTGAAAATGTAACAATTTTATAGTTGTGTTGATTTTTGTTAATTGTAATGCTTTGGTATGGATAATCTCACTCATATGAGAGCCAATAATTACAGAAACACAAAACATCTTTTAGATTCAAATAGCGCCACAAAGAAGCGGACCGGATTCATGTCACTATTCCATAGATACCTTTAAGTTTTCTAAATGAATGTTACTAAAATCTATTAAGTTTATGGATAAAAGAAATAATGGCACTTCAGTTTTAAGTTCCTATGTATGTATATTATTAAGATATACTTAACTAGACTTTTTACATGTGTCTATCTCAAATTTATGCCATCAAAATCAAAGTGCATCCGTCCACCATTATTTGCATATGTATGCTCGTAATCTAGCACACATGTATATATATATTCTAAACTTTGGTCGCCTCGTTTACATATTTGACTAAGTACCATTATCTATAACAATTAGAGCTTTGGGAGTTGGCGCCTGTTCATTGTCAACCAAGCTATGAAATAAACTTAACATACCTAACGCCGATCATTGTTTGGTTTGACCATGAAAGTGATATAGTGACTTACTGGTTAAATTGGATTCCCTACCCTTTAAAAAAAGCAAACATAATGCATCATAAAAGATCTCTATATGTAATGTGTTGCTTGATCGTTATAAAACTACCAATAAGTTCTGATATTTTAACTTTTTACAGGAAATATCTTACCGTAAGCATTATCGATTTATAAAAATTATCTCATAGGATACTACCCCGAATAATTCAGACACTCTCCGAAATCGGTCTTTTCTACTTGCGATGTTAGTGACGCCAAGGAAAAGACCTTAAAAAGCTTGTTATCCAAACAATAAAGTTGCATTATAAGATTGAGAAACTTGGAAAATTTTAAGAGGGTTAAGCTTGATTTTATGTGGGAAGACATTCCTAAGTTGAATGTTCCATATAAACTTAATTATACATATGTACATATGTCACGAAATAGAAGTTCCTTCATAATATAAGTTCCAAATGAAAAAAATATTCTGGAATAATATTTCCACAGGAATAAGTATTACAGCATATGTTGCTAACGGAATAAATAGTATAGAATATTTGTTCCAACAGGAACAGGTATTATGACATTGTTTATAACAAAGTTTCCACTGGAACTTCTGTTAGACGGAACAAATATACGTTGACACATAGATGTTTTTTTTTTATAAATGCAATAACTAGTATCCCACAAATATACTACATAATTTAATCCTCAAATTTAGGAAAATATTCTTCGACATGGATACAGTCTTTTAGAACATTTTAAAAATGTTCTTACTTTTTATCCCATGGCTACTTATATTCAGGTAGTAACATTGATATAGTTACACAAGGACATCATTGCAATGCCATTTCTTAAATAATAGGGTTAGTATTTGCAATATTGTAATTGCTGGATTATTTCGTTACGGCATCTTGCAATAGCACTAGTCTGTTTATTAAACTCACAAATATTAGAATCATATTAAGGACAAAAGACAAATAACCATGGTTTGAGTGAGAAATACAATGGAAAGGGGTAATTTCTTAAGGTTATGGTGAACCTTCAGCTTAAGGCACATTTTCTATTTCACCCACGGTGTCCTTTAATTACTGAAATCATGGACGAGTTGATATAAAAATAAATACATATTATATTGTTGTGAAGAATTTTTTCTTTATTTTGATGTAAAAGTACTTGCTTGCTCACTAATATGTCATCTAATGATGTTTTGGGAAATACTTAACAAATGGTATCCCAGTAATAAATGAAAGCCAGAGACAAACTTTATTGTCTTGTGATTTGTCATGAATGAAAGACAAATCCAACTTATATTTAAAATAATACCTTCATGGCAAATTATTCCACATAGAAACTGTAAGTGATTTAAGATAAACCCAGGGGAGCTATTTTTCAGATCATTACTTACCCATTTACTATATGGCTAAATCAAATAAATTGCTTCTGTCAATTATTCTTCATGACAGATAAAACCAATTTAAATCGTACTTAAATGGTGCATGGGGAATAGATATATGTGTTTGGTCTAAACCTTGGTGGATAAATAGCCTAAAATGATATCGTATACGGCAATAATTATTTTTAATTGCGTAGTAATTGTTCGTAGAGAACTAAACTTTACAGCAAAAGAGATGATTTTAATTTTCTGATTGTGAACCTTCCATTTAATGTAGCATCATTCCAGCAGCTTCTACATAACAGGTATGTATATCACAATTAACACGATGTTCTTGGATTTTCCTACAAGGATTTCCTTAATAGAAAGTTGCCCTATACAAGAAAGTTACCTTAGGGTGACCTGTACGGATAGATTGTAATTGTATGTTTTACAATCAAAAGGACTGTAAAGAAAAGGCACATCCTTTGTCAATTCAATAATATCTGAATGTGTTATAAAATACATGTTACACGAACGTCATCATCAACAGTTTGACTGACATATGGCATTTGTATTCAAAATGACAATTATCAATTGAGAGAACTCCTAGGTGTAAGTGTAATTTATGACAACTTAAAGTGTTAACAAAAGACACAGATATTCCATAACGGTCAACCAAATCAATATTGCGTCTGTAAAACTTTCGTAGAGATGTGTTCAACTTTACTATTAAGAACTTTTGGTTCAACAGCTTCCTTCTATTAAAGTTATTATGATAGTAAACACAAACCATGAGGTTTTCTATATGCTCAATACGGAGATGCATTTTATTACGTTAGTAGTTTTGAATAAACACTAAAATTTGAAAACTATATAAGAAATATATTGGTATCATTGCCAATGAGACATGTTTCCACCAGAGACCAAATGACGTAGAAATTAGCAACTATGTTAATAAACAGCTGAAATATATCTCAATAATATACCCCTGTAACAGTGGTCAGTTTGATGTTTTGTTTGGTTCTTTTTTTGGGGGGAGGGAGAGGGCAGGGGTACAATTTTCTCTATCGCGTACATCAAATGGCAACATCCATACTTAATCGAGTCACAAGCTTTACCATCTATACTATATTCTTTTTCATGAAGATAAAACCTAATGCGAAAATAACATTAAAATTTGGATTTGTAGACACGATGAAAGATCACGGCCACTTCCAAATATCTAAAGCTCACGGTCACTCCCTAATTTGTAAAGATCACGGTCACTCCCTAATATGTAAAGATTCCATTTTCCAGGTCGACGTTCAGATACAACTTTAAATTTCGGAGAGAATTATTGTTGTCAAATGCGTTAAGACAGTGTTCTATTTCAATATACATTTCTACGTTGTTATTTATCAAAATATACTAGTTTTGCTGCTTTTCAATAGCCCGTATCAAGCATGGTTCTCTGCATTTCAATTTCAGATTTTCTCTTTAGTCGCCGTTGGTTTAGAATCTTCCACATGTTACTTGCACAAAGCTGTCATTTTTGTTAAATTTTAAAATGGTCAGTTTGCATATTTGTAAAGACCTTTTTACAACGACAATTTATGAAGTTTAGGTACGAAACTATCTACATCAAATAAATATTTGATTCCAATAGGTCGTATTCGAAATTTATTATCATGAATTGATATCTGAATTAAAGTGTTCTCTGTCTTTCTAGTCGATTCTTGTGAATCACTTAACCAGATTTAGTACAAAAAGACTTGAACCAAATAAATATTTCATGAAAGCTTTTACTTTTGCCCAAGTGCCGAAGTGAATAATTACTTCCTTTATGGTTTAAATTTTCTCAATTTCAAAGTCATTTATTGTATATTGATATCAATTCCGTAGAGGAATTAACTCATCTTTCAGAATGTGTTTATCTATTCTATTTTGAAATAATGTTCAGTATGCGATAAATAGTCCATAGAAAAGTATGGGTATATCCATTGTATGTTACATGCAATATAAAGCGATGTGGGTATTTGTAAATGAGACCAAACCCCAATCATAAAACAAACAAAAGAGTATACAAAGACTTAAATGAAACTAATCCACCAATTGCAGAAAAAAAAGGTAATCATTGTGACATTAGACCATACACCTGAAGAACGAACAGCTAGTGTTCTAAAGAGATCAACTATTTGTATTATTTTTCGAAATCCATACAAAAAGCAGTTAGTTTATTTTATACGACTTATTGAAATGGGAAAAGTCTTTCATAGTATTTAGCTTTCCTTTTGTTAGATATGTTATTGTTGGACTTGGTGGCAATTTACATTGTACACTCCTATTTGAACCAATTGTGCAAAGACCTTGTAATTTATTAATCAAGCAATAATACTTTACAATAGAGAAGACGTTTGTGGTAGATTTAAATTTGATTTTAGTGGATATATCATGTACAAAATTTTACAACTTCAATGTTCCAATAAACTAGGATTTTACCTGAGTTCATACAACTAATTCTTAAGTTGTTAACTATTTTTAATGCATGTATCTGTTTATCGTCAATATTGTTGTTTATTATACATCTTTTCTTGTACTTTTTCAATTATCTTGGTTTTGTATTGTCGCTCTTGTTTCGGATTCCTGGACTGGACTAGATTCGGCCCTATAATAATCTCTAAGATATGTGAAGTTCGTGAAGTCGGGAAGAAGGGATACTATTTTTTTTCTCAAAGATTCAGGAAGAAGAAATAGCATTATTTTCTTCCTTAACGGATATATTATTGGAATAATTAGCATTATGTTTCTATTTAAATGGTACCATTGACTCACTAATACGAAACGTTCTTCTATAATTGATGAAAAACCTTTTCAAGAATAAGAAATTCTTTCAGGTATTGCGTTCAAAATTAGTAGTAAATTCATCATTAGAATTCGTTCAACGTGTTGTTTTTCGTTCAAGGTCTATAATTTTGTTTTTCTGAACTTAATATAAATATTGTCTTATGAAGCATTACTCTAAAAAAATGATCTAAAGAAATGATAAAATTCTGCGTTTGTTATACTTTTTATCATTAGGTATAGATTAGAATTAAATTTTTCGATGAAGAGAGAGTAAAGCAACATCAACTTGTTCTTTATACATATATCAAATAATAATTTGATACTATTAAGATTAAAAACATGTGGCCGCAAATGAGACAACCATCCACCAGAGACCAAATGACGCAGGTGTAAACAAGGTTTTTGAACATGAAGAAGACTTTTGAAGCCTTTATCAAACAAAACTCGTAACTTGCATATAAACTTATACAATAAGACAAAATGTTATATTATTGAATCAATAGAATGGTATGCGTCGCTTTTAATAGTTCACAAACATATTCAATGAACACATATTTTTTTGAAGCAGTCATCATCTTCTGCTAAGGGACTTATCATTTTTTATTTGGGAGGGGGGGGGGGGGCTGGTCAAAATGCAGGGGGATCAAGTTTTTTTTCTGTATGTGGAAAAGGGGGGTTCAATTTTTTTATAATCTCAAAGTGGGGGGATCAATATTTTTTGCACATGGAATTTGTAGTTCATATACTTCAAGAGATAAAATATCAAGAAGAACATTATAAAACAGTCAAATCGAAAATATATCTTTAACACCATTCATATACAATTAAGTAGGAAATCACAAGAATTTGGTGATGTAGGAAGCTGCCGTTTGTGTCATTTTGTCCCATATAAAATGCATAGGTGCTTCATAATCCGAATTATTCAGTCGTTATATTTCACTCACTTCGATCACTAAATTGACAAGCATTACTGCCAAGTTTTGTTATAATCAGCTTAATAGTTTGAGAGAAATTAAGTATAAATTAAAACGAAATCTGCATGCAGCGATTTGAGCAAAATTTTGTCCAAAAATACAAATCACGCCGCATCATGAAAGAATATAGTGTAGAGCAATATCTTCTCCAATAAAAGATGATTCTGAGATGATGAACAACCCTTCTGTATCTTTTTGTTTTCATTACAAGATCCCTTTGACTCCATTTATACCTCACACTCCCTCAAAATTTGTACTTTTTAGGCTAATAAATCTAAATTTTGAGGGTACTATCACACATTTAGGAATGAAATGTGACATTAAAATGAGTAATTGAATTGTTCAAGCTGAAATGAACTATCCATATAAAAGTTTAGCGACTCAATGGAGATTTCAATAAGGCCTTAAGTTTAAGCAGCGTTCAAGAGAGGGACATATAATAGACCCCTCTTAGTAAATAATGTGTTGTTACTGTTTCGAAAAGTTAACTTTTTAATGTAAATTTTTACAGAGTTACTTAGGATCAAGTTTGCTTTATAGCCCAATATAGGAAATTAGAAAAAAAGTCAGAATAAGCTACTCAAAGCACTGGCTTGCTCAACTTCTAATATTCATGGAAGAGCCCTATTTCAAGGCAATTTTCCCTCAAATATGTTTTTGGACTCAATCCACTGAGAATATTTCATTTTCAATATGTTCGTGAAATAAAATGATAAGTGTTTTGCATGTTAAAATTATGGCATGTTTAATAGAGGGGGATCAAATAAAAATAGTGAAATATTATGGGGGGATCAAGAAATTTTGTATTTTTGATTTCAAAATGACCATCCCCCCTCCCAGGTAAAAAATGATAAGTCCCTAAATGAAAAGAAGATATTACTTTAAAATAAGAGAAAAGAAAAACCAAATACTTTTGTCTTACTGAATATTTAGAGTCAATCTATCCTTGTGATAATAGAAAAGTATATGTAAATTGTAATAAAGTATAATTGCAGAAGAACAAACAAGAAATGACGAATATTTCAATAGTTTACCAATATATTCTCATTTCCAAAAAAAATAATAAAAAATATAGGTCAAGATGCTACAGGCTGTGCAAAATTCTCATATTTTGTAAGAGTTATACCTGGGAAAAAAACATTATTTATGACTAGAAAGAAATAACGATAGAATCTGAAATATGAAAATATTATCTTCTATAAATGCTTTCATAAAATAAAAACGGGTAAATGAGGTTACTGCACAATGATGGTTGCCTCATTTGACGAGCCAATCCTTTATGCATTAGTGAAATTTAATACATATCTTACATTCCTATAATACAATTTAGATATGTATTCTGCAATCGACCTTTCTATTATACTCATACAGGTGTACAGATAACACGAAGCGATAGACGTTTATAGTCTCCTGGTATCTTGCCTCTGTTGCGAGCGAACGATTATGTCAAATTACTGTTTACATCACAGTTCAATTTGGGGTCCTCATTGCGGTCCGCGTTTAAGTCATGTCGATTTCATTCAAAAAAAATCAACGATTGGGATGGAAAAAAAATGTACAAAATTAATTGCAGGATAAAGACAATAACTGTTTAGTGTCTTTAAATATCAGCTGTATTTGTATTCGGCTTGAAACAGGATTAATAGCTCGCTGAAGCTCGCATTACACCTGTTTCATAGCTTCGTTTCTCGTTTTTTATATAGATTAGACCGTTGGTTTTCCCGTTTGAATGGTTTTACACTAGTAATTTTTGGGGCCCTTTATAGCTTGCTGTTCGGTGTGAGCCAAGGCTCCGTGTTGAAGACCGTACTTTGACCTATAATGGTTTACTTTTATAAATTTTGACTTGGATGGAGAGTTGTCTCATTGGCACTCATACCACATCTTCTTATATCTATTGTCTATATATTGCATCGAAAATATTTTCCTGTCACTGAAAATATCCAGGGTACAAAGTGTTTGTCAACTTTCATTTTGTTGACTTCTTGAGAAAACCCCATCCTGTATAGTCAACACTATAGTCGACGCTGGATTTTTTTACTAAATGACACTAGGACCAATTATAGAAATGGAATATAACATGTAATGTCACTTTTGATTGATTGACCTTTGTCGTCAATTCCACTGTTGTTAGTCCGCTATACGCGTCACTAATAAACTTCATTTGCAACCGTCAAATCCGCAATTGTCGCAGGGACCGCTACCAACAAAATACTTTTATTTCTTAATTTGATAGTTTCGTTTAATTTTATTCTAATTAATTTCTTTTGTTTGGGTTTTTCGTTTTGGTGTAGTCGCTGATATTGATATTTTTATTTAAGTTCTGATATTTTGTTTTTATTTTTAGATATTTAAACTTTTTCTATATTTATTGTTCTTAGTTCACTGATTAAGAAGAATCTTTTTTTTTTCAGGAAAATATGATGAAGGAGATTGTATTGGCTGTCTTTTGTGGTTTGACTATTGCCATGGCAACACCTGTTCTGCCAGAACGAGATCTTGGTGAAATCGACCCCATTGACTCCTGCTTATTCTTGTGTAATATATGCTTCAATGAAGATGTAAGTTCTTGTATCCTAGGATTAAGCAATATGTACATGTATAGAAAATTAAGGATATGTGGTATGATTGCCATTGAGAAAACTATCCACCAAAGACCAAAGTGCAAGTACATTGTATTTAAACAGCTACAGGTTACCGTACGGCCTTCAACGATGGACAAAACCCATTCACCATATTATTCATATATACATGTATGAAGCTTATGAAGATCCTAAAACGTTGTACAACTACAGTAACTAATGTGATATCTTATAATTACGGTAAATATAAAATATACCAGTCGACTTATATTTTGTTCACCATTAATTCACCGTTTCAGAATCTGAAGGACCTATGATAATTTCAATGTTCGTACACCAAAATAAAAATTAACTTTAACAAATTGGTTAGATATGTGTTGTTTAGGACGCTGTTAACCAATCTCAACGTTTTGGTGTACGCTAGATTCTAGAATTGAGAACTAGGATATAAAAATACCAAAAGACATTTCTACTCTTTTCAAAAGACTTGATCCGGTTTATAGTCATTTAAACGTCATTTGTGTTAATTGCAGTACATTTTCCCCCATACCTAAAGTAGATAAACTCATCATAGATACCAGGATTGAAATTTTGTTTTTGCGCCAGACGCGCGTTTCGTCTACAAAAGACTCATCAGCGACGCTCGAATCAAAAAAGGGGTTAAAAAGGTCAAATAAAGTACGAAGTTGAAGAGCATTGAGGACCAAAAATTCCTAAACGTTTTGCCAAATACGGCTAAGGTAATCTATTCCTGAGGTAGAAAAGCCTTAGTATTTCAAAAAATCAAAGTTTTGTAAACAGTTAATTTATAATTATGAGTCAAATATTCGATTTTTTGAACTCCTAAATGATGTTATATACGATGGTTTTGATAAACCAATAGTCCGTTAGATTTTTACGTTTTAACCGCCAATATGGACACGAAATTGTATAAGTCTTTGTTTAAAAAAAGGTCATTTACCGATTTCACTGCGCAAGAGATGTGTTTTAGTAATAAACTTTATCAGAATCGCTTGAAAGTTTGGGAATCTAAATAACAAAATATTGTTGGTGCATCTAAACCAATAAGGTCTTAAGTTAGTTGATAAAACAACAATTAAATGTAATTTCGAATTAATGCGAAGATTGTTGATCGACGTGAGGCTTAAACAAAGAAAGGTTAATGTCATGAGAAACCCAAATCCAATATGTATTTAATTTACAAAACAGACTGATTTGCGAGAAAGACAACACTGTATATACTCTAATGTTTAACAATTAGCTGACTTTCTCAATAAGGCGTTCGTACTAATTATCAATGCCAACATTATCAACAATCGTGACAAAATTGATTGAATACTTATTCTAATCAAAACTCTATGGAATCGGTTAGATGCGATTTCCGTCAATGACCGGAAATATCAAAATCAGATTTGTCTTTCAAAAATACATACTTATATAGTATTAGCTGTCCTGTCTTATAAAGTAATATAAAGAGAACTCCAACTGTTCAATACCGATTGGAACTCTTATTTTGTTAATGCATATCAAAGGAAACGAATCAATGATAATCAAGAAACTCGATGTGCTCAAAATTTATCATTTTTATATATAATCCTCAAGACTCATTTTTCTGAAAAGAGGTAACGCCAATTTCCCATGAATTTATTTCATCAGCATGGGTATTTTCGAAATGTCAGTCTTTATTCGTACTTCAAGGACACATTTCTGAATCAAATCAAAGATGCACATCATAGATAGCTCCATCATAACAACATTCTTCGTAAATTTTATCATTAAAACAAGCAAATTTTAGTATCTATCTAAAACCTTATTTCTATGAAAAGCTACGTATTGTCTTTCAGATAAAAATTCAATCAATTTGGTCATGAAAGTCGTACTTTTTGGTGTTTTTGCCCCTATTTTTTTCACATTAGATAGCTATAAGATAAGTTCTTCCTCATGTGCAAGCCGCCCACCAAAAATCGGTTAATAAAAAACACAGATGAATGGGTGAATGATGAGCTCGGAGTTAAAACATTCCGAAGGCGGCATTGTGTTAACCAGTTCAACTAGCCAGAAATGTCGTTTCTCTACATTTTCAACTTTTATGAGCATGTTTAAACAAAATCAATTTTGTGTTTTCTTATTTAATTTTTTTTTTAAAACATAGCAAATCACGCATTAATAGTAAACAAAATAAGCAGCAAATACAACAAACATGGAAAATACGAAAACGAGTATTATAAATCTATTATAAGAAAAACTCTCCTGAACCACAATAAAAAATTATCCGAGTGTCGCATGTGAACCTGAATATAACTCTCGGCTTTGATGTGAGTTGGTATAGAAATATTACTTTATTGTGTTTGCTTTTCGAATACGTCGATCGGTACACCTTTCTCGTGGTATTTGATATATCTCGTTCGTGTATTGAATTTTGAATATTTATCATTCTTTACGTAGCAAATTTGGTATTTTCTGACTGTTCTCTAAACATGCACTCTAGTATTTCTGTCCTAACATATGATACTCAACAACATTAAAGGTATTTCAATGTTGTAACTGTGAAGTATTTTTCATTTTCTATGTTTTAGGTGAACCTCATGATGAAATGTGCTAACCGAGTGTGCCTTAGTGAACACATGGTCACTGAATATTCTCTCTACCTAATCAAACAGCTGTGCCCATTAGAGGATGAACACATGGAAAAATACGTCAACAACGGAATGAAGCACTAACTACACGTATTTTACACACATTCTGTAAATAAAGCATAATTATAAAAGTGTTGTTTTATTGATATGTTTATCATCATCGTTACTAAAACTAGGTATTATATGAACACCGGTTAATAGAATTAGAATGTGGCTGTACCAAGTCAGGAACCTTGTCGGTAGTTGATTTATGTCGTATCTTAATGTTGTTGGTTATTTAAAGAAATGGGTTTTAATGGGACAAGACTTCCATTTGAATTAATAAACTAGGGACGATTTAGAGCTTGACTTATTTCAGAGAAACCTGTTTGTTGTTGTAGACTGTATGTCGCCCTCTAGATTTCTTTTCTTTTCTTTATTGTAAATTAAATTAAAACCTATTGCTTCATAGAAAAATAGATACCGTCACCCCCTCCCCTCCACACACACACACCACCACCAGCACCACCATTTGTCCGTCTGGTGTCAGTTACTCGAGCACTCAAGTGTGCTTTTAGTCATTTACTTGAAACTTTAAAGTCATTTATGATGCCGGCTTAAGGGATTCGTTTAATGTAATTTGGGTTTTGTTGCCATTAGACGTTTAAAATTGTCGGATTTTCAATATTTTGTAGTCCAACCACTAACGAGAATTTATTCGTGAACATAAAGTATTATACCGATGTTATCTTTAACACTACAATCCCAGATATTAATAAAATAAAAAAGGAACGTAAACTATTGGATTTGCATGAACTCAGTTGAACCGAGTCTGTTAGTAAACAAATAAGTTGACTAAGATCAGAGTAAAACAATTTTGAATCGCTTGAACTCCGTCAAAGTGAGTCCGCTAGTTTAAAAATCAAAGTCCAGTATAGATATAGACTAAGACGAGAGTGAAAACAATAAGAATTGCATGAAATCAAAATGATGTGGTACCATGCGTGTCGACATAGTTTGTTCGGTAGGCAGATCGTCACACTATTCCAAAGATGTCAAATAGAAAGTGTTAAAGACAGCAATGAAAAAACACTAATAATGTCCAGTGAACGATAGCTAGCTGACAGTGAAATCTATGACAGAATTAAATGTCTATTAAAAGTTTAGAAACTGAGACATTTAAACGATCAAACCATTATTGATGGCGACGATAACTTATGGAGTGATAATTTCAGTTGTTTAACAAAACCCTGAAGTATGTCTCTTCTAGTCAAATCGCCAGAACAAGAGTATGGTCTTGCATAACATCTGAGACAAATAAACGCACCATAGGCTGAGACTGTTGCTAGTATGCAGTGCTTTGGCTCTTGCGTAATTTAAATGTTAGATTTTACTGTAAAATTTCTGTTTGTAAATTATGAAATTGCACAGAAACTAAAGTTGCAATTCTGTCATTAAAAAATGAAAAATTGAGAGTAGAGAAAAACTACCTTAGGAAAAGTTGACCTTGGACGAGTTTAGCTGTCCTTGTTATACTGTTTTATTGTTGTTTTATGATTGTTTATTGTTTTGTTAATTGTTTAAGAATTTGGCTATCTAAACGCCCCTCCGAGCAAAGCGTTGAAGGTTATTATGAAAACACGTTCCTTGCATACTGAGATCATTATCATAGTTCACAAGTCAAGAATGAAGTCGACTATAAAAAAAAATAAATACGTTTTGCAAAATGTACACATAATACATCATATTGATTTCGCTATCCTCTATCTCTGGACTACGTGTTTTTTTTTAATTGCATTGAAATCATAATCGACTTATTGATAACATATGTTAGTGGGTTCTCTTGGTTCTGTAAATGTAAAATGGTTTCTTATGTATCGTGTACGTTTTAAGCATGTGCTTAATTATATCTAAAGTAGCTAAGGATACAATGTAAAGTAATTTGAGCCGGTATGAAATATAATAGCAAAGGACACAATATTGTCATCTAATTCACTAGTTACTAAGAAGTTAATATGGTCAAATTACCAATTATATGTATGAAATATTACGAAAAATAATTTTGTAAATCGAATATGCGTGTTTATCCAAGTACCAGTTGGATATCTAACCGTATTTTTCTATTTCTTCTGGTAACCAGAGTAGATTATTCCGGATATTATAACACATGTTCATGGTATCAAATATGAATATTTACACAGAAATTGATACGGGGAAACTTAAAAATTATATATAACACATACATAGTAGTGTACCAAGACCAAAAGAAGATACGAAAGGAGCAATAAAAAACCAAACGTTTCTTTAAACAAACAATGCTACGAACAAAAAAAAAAACAACGAAAGAACAAGCAAGTCCATAAAACACTACACAGAAAACTAAAAATTGAGCGTTACGAATCCTTCCAAATCCTGGATTGCACTCAGATGCTCCGGAAATGTCAGACGTAATTGTTCCACTAATGATATCAGCCGTGTTACTTCTATAAAAATGCGTTGATAAGTCTTATCCAGTGCTGAGCATCATAAAATAGCAGATTGGTAAATGTCTTTCTTCTAACACTTAAAACATCACCTAATGAATATAAGGTTTTCCAGGACAAAGGATGGACAAGACTGTAACCATTAAAACAACACACACATTGAATATGTGGTAGCACTGAATATAATAATGACAGCTACAGTAAAAGAACACGAACCTATCCAAAACTAAACTAGAGAATAATGCAGGTGCCCCGGAAGTGTAAGCACTTTTTGCTGTACTAGTGACTCTTGTTGTGTTACTACTTGCAAGAAAAATTTTGAAATTTTTGACATCGACAAGAGAAAAAATCCTGTAGTTATTTGTGATACACATATTCCTTGAAATTTTCAAAAAGATGACTTCAACTTTATCATTTGGAATCCTTGGTTTAATCTTTCCCTTGTAAGAAGCAACCATCTATCGTGGAAATCATTTTAAGAAACTCATGCCCTGAAATATCGTATACATTGGAAGATATATATTCCATATGTAGGCGCTCCTGGAATGTTGCTACACAAAAATGGAAAGTTTACAATGGGAAAAACTATAAGAGTTAGTTTTGTCGTAAATCTTATAATAATATTATGACATTAGTAATACCAAAAGTTTTGAATTCCAGATAATACATTCAATGTCTAAATAAGCCAATCAGATAAATGTAGCTAATTTCTAATTTTGTTTAGGCCAATTAAATGCTTTTAACGTGTATCAGAGGTATGACTTTTAAATGACCTGATGACGATGATGTGTCAATATGGACAACGACCTACTATTAACATTTGTAAAACAAAAGGATATAAGTTGAAGAAATTAAATGCATTTTTACTGACACCTAGGCAACAGTCTTCATTCTAAGGAATAGAGTACCAAGCAAAAGTTATCTATGAGTTATACATAGGTAAATAGATTGTCCTGTAATTTTTGTTATCTAACTGATAAAAGTGTAAGATAACTGCCAGATTTCTATCCAGAAAGCCTTCTTTGGTAATTATTTACTCAAAAAACTATTACAAAGCTATGACAAATAAATACAATAAAAATGTGCTAATGTCATTAATCAACAACACAACAACGAATGCGAATTGTATTTATCATACACAACATGATGGGTGTCCCTAGTAGAACAGCAAAAGACTTTGACCCCGGTTTCTGGTGGGAAGTATGTGTTTATTTGTGATTTTGTCGTTTATGCATCTATCATATCTTTTTTCATCTTCAAACAACCCCGTTCAGTTTTCTGTGTTGTGTTTTGTGAATTTTTATTTATCTTTTCGTTTTTGATTTTGCCTTTATATCAGTCCTGTTTGAAGAGCCTATATGATATGAAAGGTGGGAAAATTACTAACTTCAATTCCAGGACGATGTGGACCATTCGACGATAAACAATAAATACTTTAACTCCATTTAAGCAACAGAATTTGTGTATAATATGGAAAAACAGTCAACTTTGAAATCAAGAGCGACAAGTTCTACATGAATCCCTTATGAAGAGATCTTCCAAGTCATGAATGTAATAAATTTCGCCTGATTGCAAAATGAGTGCAAATAAATACTAAAAGACATAGATCAATGGAAGATACCATTTCCTTCAATAATGTATGAGAGTACCATCATTTTCTGGAATTCTGAAATTATGCAAGGTTTGAAATGAAACAACTCCTTTTGGCGATTTTTAATTGAACTTCAAATACGTTCTTAGATATATTTTCTCATTACCTTTACGCTTAACAAAATATTAATACATGCAGGTGCAGTGTTTCCAGTGTGTTATGTGAAAACTTAATTTGTTGATAAGTAACATTGAAAATGGACCTATGCAACAGACTTCTTACTTGAGGGATGACCTATCTTGTGAACCGTAACTTATTGAAGCAGTACGTTTAATGTGAAAGAGTTGTTATCTTGTATAACATTGCACTTCAAATACAACTCAGCAAGTAGATTTCATAACAAAGCACGATTCCGTGTAGCTATGCCATGACATTGTTATAAGTAGTAGTAGAATAGGGATAAGAAAACAGTAGAGCAGGTAGAGCAGGTAGAGCAGCTTATGTAAATATTGTGCTAGTGATGGTGGAATGTTTGTGTCCACGTGTCATACTTTTGACCAAGGTAGAGCAACATTGGTTGGTAACCAGGTTATGTTTGTCGTCCATTTTGTTTCCACGTTGCAAGGTAGAGCAACATTGGTCGGTAACCAGGGGTATGTTTGTCGTCCATTTTTGTTTCCACGTTGCTGACTTTTTCAAGGTAGAGCAACATTGGTTGGTAACCAGGGTACGTTTGAGATGACGTCCATGTTGTCCACGTTGTAGAATTTTGTGTTGTTTTTTGCTTGTCTAAATTGTTATTTGCTTGGAGTTAGTCAATATGTGAGAGAGATGGTTGTTGGTAAGGGGTGGCATTCATTTTCTTTCCACAACACACAAACTACAGAAACTTGAGAAGAGATAAAACAAAGATTGAAGAAAATAAATTATTTTTATTATCAAAAACTTATATACATTATGTATACATCACATTTTGTGTAGATCACCATTATTGCAAAAACTGATTGAGTATTTTTAGCATAAAAAATAAATATTACAATACTATGTATAGTATATAAAAACTTGTATTAAAACCGATATTTGAGCATA